GGGAAGGGGAGACAGAGAGAAAACAGGATATGGCACAAAAAAAAGAAGAAGGGCTAATACAGGGGGAAGAAAGAGAGAAGAGGGAGTGACTGCAAAAGCAAGAGAGTGATTGCCTATTGACTTGATGAGAGAGGGGATGCATCATTATATAATTGTAAATCCCAGAAAGATAGGGTGTAATAGGGCTTTCTCTCCTCCCACCGCTGCTTTGGTAATTTATCCCTCTCTCTTTCCATCCCTTTCTATCTCTCTCTTTCACCCTGTCACCCATCAATCTTTTTCCAATTACCTGCTCTGTCTATCCACAAATCCATCATAATCATTTCCATGGTAACGGGTTGCATCCTCCATTGGCTTTGGCCTATTGTTCAATATAATTGTGCGCCAAAAAGCAGTCTTTAGAAGAGGGAAGGGAGTACACAGCGAGACACGGGTCTGGATATTGTCGCTGTGCTCGGTGACTAATGTCTCTCCCATGTCTCCGAAGAGTCAACTTCAGAGGAGATAGTCTGTTTAATTTCAGCCGTGGCGTCCATTCATCAGACATTTTATCAGACATTATGTGTAGATTGGCTTTATCCCAGGCTGATGAAACATCTTCTCCGCTCGTGCAATTGTCAGTTATTGTGAACATGAGAAAGTATAACTGCCCATGCAAGGTCAGTGAAGAACAAGATGATGTGTTGCTCCTAACAAATAGCATTTGTTAACGCTCCCCGAAAATCTATTGAGGTGGTTTGATTGGAATAATTGTAAGTTAATGAGCACAGATTTTTAGAGTGCCTTGTGTCTTTTTCTTTTTTTTCTACATAATTAAAGAAGAAACCTTTTTGCGCCCAAAGAGCTACGAACCCCGGCCACAACATTCAGAGGTCACATGACGAATCACTGACGTAGATTGTTCCCTGTCCTTGCTTAATGCAAACATGCCATGTCATAGTAGGCACATTGTGCAAAGTGAGAAAGCTGAGATTTATTCATTTCCTGTTTCTGTCTTGGCAGCAGAAAAAAAAAAATATATATGTGTGAAATTTGAATGCAGCTCACAGAGAAACCACCAGGCAGAAACGACTTATGGTGCGAGTCCATGATTAGCTCATGTACAGTACACAGTATACGGCCTCTTTAAACAGTCATTGGCTGAGCAGCTGAAACGTGTCTGTCTGAATGTTCTCAACTTTATAGTTTCTGGATGATGGTCGACTCATAAAGGTCCATATGTTTTATTTTTAGTGTTGATCCATAAGAAGATAAAAACCATCTCAGTGTAGTTTTACATCTCCTCTCTCAGGCTTCTCTCTGGAGCTCTGGTAACAACAGGTCGGTGAGCCAATCAGAAGAGAGGAGGCTCTGAGCCTCTCTTCTGATTGGCTGACTGTTTTCTGAGTGATCCAATAAAAATATAGCAGATTTCAGGTAAAACACTCAGAGAAACCAAATCCTGCAAGGTTTGGTTGGTGGGTCCAGGTGGGCGGGGCTTGGTGAGTGCTTCGTTGTGACATCACAAAGTTCCAGAAGTCCTGACGGCTGGTTTTAAGGCTCAGTTTCTGAATACAGGCTGTGTGCATTTCTCTGTGGACTGAGGCTTTGATACTTTCACAGTATTAATATAGAAGCTAGACCTGATCTATAATCACACTACACATGGACAGAGACCTTTACACTGGAGGAGCTTTAATTTGAAACTGTAAACATTTATGTAATGATAAATCCACTTCAACATTTTCTTTATCCGCTGCATGAAAGATAAAAAATTAGAAATTAAAATTAAAGAATGGTTCAGTAATCTTTAACTGTAACACCAGATATATCCTGGCACCCAGCAAAGAATGCCAACATTGGCATACTAATGACTGCATAGCAACAGCTTTGTTTTACCTTCCCACTGGCGCGCTGTAAGACAAAGTGTATGAACGAAAGCAAACATATTATTGTGTGGACGGCGAAATGTGTGATTTCAAATATATCCACATTAGAGTGGACAGCTTGTCAGGATTATATCATTTATCTAGCAGCACACTCTGGACTCTATTGTTTACAGAAATCTGCTGCACGTGTGTTGGCAAATTATCAAATCACAGCTTAGCAGGCGGCGGTGCTGCAGAGGTAGTGGACTCAACAATATAATATAATATTGTTCAACTGTGAATTTACCTGCCTCCTGTGCCTCTGTCCGATTCTCCTCAAAATCCTTGTCAAATTTGTGTGTGTGTAAATCTTCTTTTTTGTTATGACAATCTTTATGATTTTTTTAATTCCCACATACTGCATCATCCTTGTTTACTAGTGTCATTAAAAACTAGGCCAGCCCTCCTTCTAGAGGTCAGCAATGATACAACTAAAAAATCTCATAGTCAATACAGATGCAAATTTTAAGCAAAATAAAAATGTAAAATGAGGTTTCTCTTAGTATACATGATCTTTTGAGATATTTATATATATATATATAAACAGCAACAACGTCACTTTTAACTGTTTTCTTTGTAGACTTTTCTCCTCGTCGTTGCCTAATCACTTTGGGAGTCTTTAACTTCTGGGTATAGCCTCAAACACATGAGCAGAAGGCTCCATTTTCTTGTGAAATAAGCCTTAGCCTATGAGCCTATTAGGTTGACAGTTGGTTCCAAACCCTCTGTGTCCTGCTGTGGGGAAACAGACTGGAGTGCTTGCACCCATTCTAATGAATGTGTATTTGCTGACCCGGGGTAATTGATATTTATAGGGCACATAATGGTGTCAATTTAATTTGCAAAACAGACATGACTTTGTTATTCACGGGGAGAAGTTGGGCTCGTTATCAGCTTCAATATAAAATGCGCACATATGAAGGACTTTGAGTGATTTAGTGTTTTTAGTGGATTTAAAGGACAGATAATGATCTTGAAATACATTTTACAGCAATAACAAATAACTGGAAAACGTGGCTTATTCGTCCTGTTTACACCTTGTTTTTTACATTACATCAGATGCTTGTGAATTACAATCACTTTTACAATTCATGTAAAAATAACGCAGAGAGCAGCGGGAGCCGGGAGCTGCAGTTGGTGTGCCATGCTGATTGGAGACTGGAGTGTTTTGTTATTGTGTTGGTTAGTGATGTGTAACATCCTCCACCTACCATCAATTTACTGACCCTCTCCTCTTTTCTCTCTCTCTCTCCCCCTCTCTCTTTCTCTCCCTCTCTACTCTATGTTGCTCAGTCTTAACAAGTCACACAGACATATAGCCAAAGAGACAGGAAATGAAAGGATTTGACTTTTAAAATAAAAGACTTACTATTACTTCTTCACTCCACTGCTGCATATTTTAGACATTAGGTGTGAGATCTTTTTAACCTTGTAGTATTATAGTATAACATTATAGTATTAACGACATTATTTGATATTAACACTTAACAAACCTTAAACACAATTGTATCTCCGTGATGTTGAATGTAGTGTGAGACTTGGACAGACATTAATGTTGTTTCCTTTATTGCCCAAAAAGACTGAGAAAAACATGGTTGTAAGGATTTCACATAACTGTGTTTCCCCTTTGGCTCTGACTCTGTGATCATCTGATCACTGGATGTTGAAACAGGGATACAAAAGAGGTTGTGACGACTTACAAGCTGATTCAAAGTCTGACCTGTTCTCTAAATTCACTCGCTGTGTCTCTCTGAACCAAGGACTTTCTATACTTTTCCTCTTTCAGGGACAAACTCCTATAAAGAAGCAGGAAAGAGAGGGCAACAATAGCTAGTTAAACTGAAGACAGCGTGTTATAGAAGAATATTTTTGTTAATGTTTGTGGGTTTTGTTATAATTGAAAGATATATTTTTGCATCTTTGGGAGATTTTTCTTCATCCTTGCCTGAGACCTACTATATGTTCTTCAGTGCGTAACTACTTCTGAATAAGTCTGGAAAGGGATGGAAATATCATTATATATCCAGTACATATATAAAATCATATATTCTAGTTTTATTTCATTTTTGACATTCATGCTCTGCTCCAACAAGTCAATAAATCACAACTACAGCTGCATTTATGGAGAAGTTGTTATTTAATAAAGAGGTCTTTCCTTGTATTTTATATAAGAACAAGAGTAAAGCTGGAAGCTGGAAAACTTTACAAAGACCACTGTTCTGGGTAGAAACCTGTATTATAAAACCATAAGGAGTCTTGTCCAGTCTCCTGTACTGGATTACTAAGTAACTCTATTGAACAACTTTCTTTATCTCAGAATTCATTCAATATGATTAGAGCTGAAATGAAGATTTGATGAGTCAATTGACAGAAACATAATCAGAAACTACTTTGATAATAAATTGTTTCAGTCATTTTTCAAGTAAAAATAGTAAAAAATAAATATCAAATATTATCTAGTTCCAACTTTTAGTTAAACAAAACTATCTATCTATCTATCTATCTATAGTGTTAGTTCGTTTGAAGATAATATAAATAGGGTGAAGGGTGAATAAGTGGATAGTTTCTTTTTCTTTTCTTTTTATTTGATATTGATAAATTCACTGATTCTCAGGGTGATTCTGAACTTTGAAATACATCTGGAAATATAACAAAATTGATATTTGATGTAACAAAACCATCATCAACGCACCTATAACGAGTTATAATAGGTTAAGTATTAATTAAATTATCTTTCAATTAATTGTGTACTAACTAACAATAATAAAAGTATTGATGAATCAGTATGTCTCTCAAGAGAACTGCCTCTTAATGTGGAAATTTTAGGCCAAGATAGTAAACGTAGCTCAAATTAAAAATCCATGTCTTGTGTCAATCTTATTCTAACTGGCAGCCTGATGAAAGTAAGAATCATTAAAATGTGTTTGTTGTTGTTATTTTGTGTAGTTTAGTCAAAAAGCCAAACACGCTCGTAATAATGAATTTTATTTTGAAATCTGTGAGCGGAAGTGTGATCTTACATCCTGTCTGGTTTGACACAGGCTGCTCAGTGTGTGTGTGTTTGTCTGTGTGAGAGAGAGTGTGTGTGTGTGTGAACTCGGCTTCCTGCTGCTGCTCGGTGTCCGCACACCGTCCGTCTCGTCAGTGTTGATCGGCTCGCCATGGCGGAAGGACGCAGAGAACAGCCGCCCCATCCCCTCTTCTCCATACCACCGGCCAGCAAGCGACCCTGCCTGCGCCCTGCTCCCCGAGGTCCCGGCCCGGGGCCCGGCCACGGCAGCGGGTTGCACAGCTCCCGGTACCGTTCCCCGGAGTCCCTTCTGGACTGCGCCGCGAAGGCAGTAGCGGAAAAGTGGGCCTTCGAGAGAGTGGAGGAGCGCTTCGAGCGGATCCCGGAGCCCGTCCAGCGCCGCATCGTCTACTGGTCTTTTCCCCGCAACGAAAAGGAAATATGCATGTACTCTTCGTTTCAGTGCCGAGTCGCCGGCGAGGAGGGTCCGTCGGCGGCTACCGGCGGCGCTGGGGGCGCTGGGTCCGGAGCTACGACCGCCGGTGGCGGCGGCGGTGGTGGTGGGGGATCTACAGCCGTTACAACGGCTACCGCGGGGGCAGCCGGAGCGGTGGGCACGGGAGACGGACTGCCATTCCGCCGCGGTATCAGGCTGCTAGAGACCGGCTGTGTGGAAAACGTTTTACAAGTCGGTAAGTGGAATATTTCAGTTTCACCGAGGCTTTTCTCTCTCTTTTTTCTTTTTTTTTTTGGCACAAACACTGGACAGTTTTTCGAGTCTCGCCGCCGCTGCTGGATCTAATGGGGGATGATTGATGGAAGTTTTCCCCGCTATCGTGGAAAGTATGCAAAGCGTCTGTTTTCGGCGCACATTAAACCACACATGTTTCTGCGTGTGTTTTCAGTCGAGTTGGCTCGTGGGGAAACATTTTCTGTCGAGTTTCGAGCTTTTTGTCTTTTTATATCCCGCTTCTCCGCAAAAAAAAAAAAAGGGGAAGCGAGTACACGGTCGGCTGCTAGCTTAGCCAGCTGCTGTTTAAAAATTAAAGGGCTTCCTATTGTGGCTTTTCATTACTCCGTAGCTCTGGCTACTGCATCGGGTTTACCTTCACGTTGAAGCCCCGGCTCTCTGTGTGTTGAAGGAGGAGGGAGGAAGAGGAGGAGGGGGGGGGGGTATAAGGAGGAGAAGCCGTGTTTCGGGCAATTATCAGCACCTCTCTCCCTCCGTGGGGCTCCTGGTCGACGGCCGGAGCTGGCTGGAGCCGTAACCCCGGCAGAAAGGCAGGGGAGGCGCGGAGGAGGAGGGCTTGACAGACGCGGATACAAAAGACCCAGCGTTACAGCGTCGGGGCTTTATTGTTGTTATTATTATTTTTGTTTGTTTGAGCGAAAAGTCGTTTTTACTCAACTCACCGTCGGTTGAGGGTGGCTTAGGCGAGGAACAAAGGCGGTTATTGGGTCTCTTATTATGATTAATCCAACGTTAATCCGAAAAAATCCCCCACAGCTTTTTGTTTATTTGCTGCTGCTGCTGGTCGGACCGGACAAAAGAGCGCAGTCGCTATAAGAACGTGGAAAACACACGTCGGGAGTGTGTGTGTGTGTTGTTGTTTTATTGTTTTATTATTAAACCTAGCGCCATAGTAGCTGTGTATAACGTTAAATGTCTAGTATTATTATTAGCAGTAGTTCGTTTTGCCCGCAGCCTCTCAGTCGCTTGCAGCACAAAAGGCTTCCAGTTGAAATGATCGATAAGCGTCTCGCATTTCCAGCGCTGCAGAGAGGCTGTTTCCAAACAAAGGGCCATTCCGCAAAGCTCCTTCTCCACTCACTCTCATTAGTTTCATACCCCCCCCCCAGCTCCACACGGCCGCGAAATGAGCCCAGACATCAGGGAAATTGATGAAATGAAACCGATGGATAGTCAAAAAAAAAGAAGAAAAGAAAACAACAACAACAAAAAAACAGCCTTTTATGGTTCGGGAGGATTTTTCTAAAGCCATATGGTGTGAGAGTCACTGGAGCTTGTCTGGGGTTTCATGTTGCTCCAATCTATCTTGGGGGGGGGGGCTGCAAACTGTGGCTGCGTTTCTCTGTGTGACTGCTGTATCTAATTGCATCTCATAAATGCTCATCGATTCCACCCCATAACTAAATGAAATTGGAGACTTATGAATATGAAAGTGAGATTCGTTGCAGTCTGGCGTGATAACTTTTTTGCAAGTTTGAGTCTGCAGCAGAGAGTTGGTGCATAAGAGCAACGTGCAGCCAGGCGAGTCTAAAAAGTCAAACTTGTTTTTGACTTTACTTGTTTACTGTTTACGGCCTCAAGGACTTACGTTTGTAAAACTAACTACTTTTACCACTTCCTGTCATTACAAACACTTTACACCTTTACCTCTGGTAGTCTGTAAATGCTGCTGTGTGCATCCACAGAGCTCCATTTGAAACAGTTAGAAAGTCTCTTGCAGTGTTGAATGTGCAATTTGTGATCTAAGAAGCTATAGGTATAAGCTTCAGTTGAAATTTTAATGGTATAAAACAACATACACCCAATAAGCAAGTACTTCCAGTCTTACCTGCCTCACCGGCAAATCGTTTCCAATCTCCCCCAAGGTCAGTCATAGCAGGCAAGGCACATGGTTTTATTTATCTGTCAACAAAACACAAGACGGGCTGAATAGCTGTGTGACATCAAGATAAGATTTGGCTTATTTTTCACTTTGTGGACCATGGGAACCGGTTTCTTGTGGAAGGTTTGCTCACTGACTTATCAAGAGAACAATTGTTTTGTTTCTTTAATGTTTTTTTCAGAGCTGGATTCAGAGAGGTTGGGCACCGGAGCATGCTCATACACAAAGCACTCATTAAGGATCGTGTTTCACACCTGTAAAGATTGCTCTCACCTGACATGGCACAACATAATCACCACTTAAAGCAGCGGCAGTACTTGTTTTTTTAAGGAAAGCGAGATGGACGTGCCTCGTGAACTCTGTACGAGGAACTTGCTGGGGAGCGATTGGGAATGAGACCAGGCTGCGTGCTGACACATGCACGCTGATGATGCATGGTTTAAAATATGGCATCTCGGTGGAATTAAAACTTGCATTAAACTTTCGAACCATAGATACACATGCTAACTGTTTATATAGGCTGCGTGTTACATTTATGCACCAAAAGTAAACAACCATTTTTTTTTGTTGTTATTGCTGGTTTTATCATCTTTGTATTTAGTTTATTTTGCTTGTAGTTAAGGCAGAGTCATGGTCTGTCTGCATCAGCCTCAGGTGGAGGTGCCGTGTTGTTGTTATGCAGCTCTCGTCTCTCTTTGTGACTTTAAAGGAGCTGAAACAGCAGTTTTCCTCTGGCATCCTCAAAGGTTTATAGATATCTGCCAAATATGGGCAAATCAGGCAAATCAAGGATTCCCCTCACATCTGATTTAATGAAAAGACAAAGTTACACAACCATGATGCAGCAGAGGGCCGGAGACGCCGAAGCGGTGAGCTCACGAGCTAGGCTATCAGGAGGATATAGTATTATTACTCACAGCTTCCAGAAGTCCAGCAGGAGCTCCTGTTCCTGTAAACTCACACTCGTCTTTAGACTTGGTTTTCTTCTTCCTGTCCTGGGCTCTGAGGATCGGGGTGCCTAGAGCCAGATCTGGAATTGCTCTTGTTTTTTCAAGCAATTACTAATGGGATCTGGTGCTAGGGAGTTAGGAGGAGGAGGAGGAGGAGGAGGAGGAGGAGAGGAGGAGGAGGAGGAGGAGGAGGAGGAGTTGTGTGTGTGATCTGCTTTTTGGTGCCCGGGTCACAGAAAGTTTAAGACCAGACTAGGAGTGTGTCAGAAGAGGAGGACAACTGTTGCCGGCTGTTGTCACAAAAGTTTAAAACAACACAAAATCAAATGTTTCTTCTTTCTTTTTTTCTTCACAGTTGCATAATTTTCACATCGTCTTTAAAAACAAGAAAATACGGATCAACGCTGGATGTGGTTTTTTCACTGTTGAGCAATAACAAAAAACAGAGTCGTTTTGGTAGAAACTGATGATATTTACCATCACAGACGTGCTTGTGTGTGTGTGTGTGTCAGCAGTTACAGGATGAGTTGACTGCAGTTCTCTCAGATGCCCCCCCCCCCCAAAGGCCGTGTCTGTCGGCCTCTTTTAATAGTCATACTGAGGGACTGAAGGGACGTGAGCTCATCAACGACTCATCGGCCCATGTGTTCATAATAATCTGCTCCTCGCTCCAAGTCATAATTAGAATAATCAAAGCTAAGCGTGCTTGTATTTGTAAACCCCCAACCCCCCCACCCCCACCCACCCCTTCGTACACACCACATACACACACACTCACACACACACGTGCGTGCAGTCAGAAGCCCCTTCGCCAGAGCCTTATGAAGTCCTCAGAGAGCGGGAGGAAGGGATATAAGAAGAGGGAGGGAAGAGAGAGGGGGGGGGNTGATGATGCATGGTTTAAAATATGGCATCTCGGTGGAATTAAAACTTGCATTAAACTTTCGAACCATAGATACACATGCTAACTGTTTATATAGGCTGCGTGTTACATTTATGCACCAAAAGTAAACAACCATTTTTTTTTGTTGTTATTGCTGGTTTTATCATCTTTGTATTTAGTTTATTTTGCTTGTAGTTAAGGCAGAGTCATGGTCTGTCTGCATCAGCCTCAGGTGGAGGTGCCGTGTTGTTGTTATGCAGCTCTCGTCTCTCTTTGTGACTTTAAAGGAGCTGAAACAGCAGTTTTCCTCTGGCATCCTCAAAGGTTTATAGATATCTGCCAAATATGGGCAAATCAGGCAAATCAAGGATTCCCCTCACATCTGATTTAATGAAAAGACAAAGTTACACAACCATGATGCAGCAGAGGGCCGGAGACGCCGAAGCGGTGAGCTCACGAGCTAGGCTATCAGGAGGATATAGTATTATTACTCACAGCTTCCAGAAGTCCAGCAGGAGCTCCTGTTCCTGTAAACTCACACTCGTCTTTAGACTTGGTTTTCTTCTTCCTGTCCTGGGCTCTGAGGATCGGGGTGCCTAGAGCCAGATCTGGAATTGCTCTTGTTTTTTCAAGCAATTACTAATGGGATCTGGTGCTAGGGAGTTAGGAGGAGGAGGAGGAGGAGGAGGAGGAGGAGTTGTGTGTGTGATCTGCTTTTTGGTGCCCGGGTCACAGAAAGTTTAAGACCAGACTAGGAGTGTGTCAGAAGAGGAGGACAACTGTTGCCGGCTGTTGTCACAAAAGTTTAAAACAACACAAAATCAAATGTTTCTTCTTTCTTTTTTTCTTCACAGTTGCTTAATTTTCACATCGTCTTTAAAAACAAGAAAATACGGATCAACGCTGGATGTGGTTTTTTCACTGTTGAGCAATAACAAAAAACAGAGTCGTTTTGGTAGAAACTGATGATATTTACCATCACAGACGTGCTTGTGTGTGTGTGTGTGTCAGCAGTTACAGGATGAGTTGACTGCAGTTCTCTCAGATGCCCCCCCCCCCCAAAGGCCGTGTCTGTCGGCCTCTTTTAATAGTCATACTGAGGGACTGAAGGGACGTGAGCTCATCAACGACTCATCGGCCCATGTGTTCATAATAATCTGCTCCTCGCTCCAAGTCATAATTAGAATAATCAAAGCTAAGCGTGCTTGTATTTGTAAACCCCCAAC